CTATATTATTTTCCGACTTTTCCAACGATTATCGACACTACTGTGTGCCGGAAATAGCCGTTCCCTAACGGGTACTTTACGCGGATTCGCGTTAGTGTGCCAGGCCTGGACTTTTAGCGTGCACCGAATTAAATAATGACCAAGTTTGTCAATAACAAAGTCAAATATTTAATAAATAATTCTAATAATAACTATTTACAAAATTTAGTAAAAATCAAACAACAATTTATTCAATGAAAATCAATAAGAATCAACCCGACAAAACTCAAATCAATCTAGTTTCTAACTTAAATCTATTCCCCTTTGGAATTCGACAAAATTCAAAGACTTAACTTATATACAATAATTCATATGAATTAAAGATCCTAATCGTCACCTCAATATACTGGGAACCTATTTCCTCAACTCTCAAGACTTTCTCTATTCGTCGATCCACAAATCGAATAACTTCAAAATCGCCTTGGAACTATTTGATCCTATCGGACACCTCTCTTGTTCACTGCTATGAGGCTCATCAAGCTCGTTGCTAACTGGAGTTCATCTCGTCTGTCTTCACTTGACGTTCGGTTTTTATACTGTGAGGTGACGTCACAATTCTGACTGCGATCACTCCCCTCATTTACATATCAGGACAGTCCAAATGTTCGTGCGCATTAGTAGCATGTATGGGTTTCGCGATTACTCATTACCAGATCGATAAGATTCCGAACTTGTTGAAACTTGTCATCGTTTGACCGTTGTATTCGTCAGTTTGTCACCAAATTTCGTAAAGATCAGACGCATATTAGTACCGATAAAAAATGAATATCGATAACGCATATAAACGTGCTGTGTTATATTTTTTCTTTTTGAGTGGTGAAACTGCCAGATCTGCAGCAATAAAAATTAATAGTGTACATGGTGCACATACTATTAGTATGAGGACTGCCCAGAAATGGTTCAAAAAATTTAAACTTGGAAAAAGCAACATTAATGATGAACCCCGTTCAGGATGTCCTGTCGATTTTGATAATGACATTCTTAAAAATTTTGTGGAGTCAGAGCCACATTTAACAGTGGATCAGATCGCAGAAAAGATGCATTCATCTCATGGGATAGTCTTTCACCATTTAAAGGAGATTGGAAAAGTATCCAAGCTTGGAAAGTGGGTACCACACGAGCTGTCCGAAGCCAATTGCCAGCAGCGATTAAACATCTGCATTTCTCTTCTATCGCGCTTTGAAAGAGAGCCATTTTTAGACTGTTTGGTAACAAGTGACGAAAAATGGGTTATTTATGATAACATCACCAGAAAAAGACAGTGGACAGCCAATTCCAACACCAAAGGCGTCTTTACATCCCAAAAAGGTTCTGCTAAGTGTGTGGTGGGATATGTATGATGTCATTTATTATGAATTGTTAGAACCAAATAAAACCATTAATGCAGATGTATACAGTGAACAACTTTGCCGTTTAAATTCAGAATTGATTAAAAAACGCCCGTGATTGGTGAATATGAAGAAAGTGTTGTTCCACCATGATAACGCTAGACTGCATACGGCTCGAAAAACGCTGCAAAAAATTAATGAACTGAATTGGGAGCTTTTGCCGCATCCTGCATACTCCCCGGATATTGCCCCAAGTGATTTTCAGTTATTTCGTGCCTTACAAAATTTTTGCCAAGGCAAAAAGTTCAATTCTAAACGGATATACAAAATGAACTCAGAAGTTTTTTGCTTCAAAACCAGAATCTTTTTACACCAACGAAATAAAAACGCTACCAGAAAGATGGCGAGATATTGTAGATAGCAAAGGAAAATATATCATAGATTAAAATGTTAAATTTTGTTTTATTTACACCATTTAAAAATTTCGCCAAAATGTGCACAAACTTTTGGACTGACCTGATACTTATTCGCTAACAATAAACTTTTCTATTTGTCTGGCAACCTATTTTCCGATAATACTTGCTAACCTTTTACATTATTCTTTTTGACAATTTTCGGGATGTTTTATTCTTTTAAGGCTTAGCGAATTTAAGTTGTGCTTGTGGGGTCTTCTCCCCCCCTTTTTCTCGGTGTGGACTTACTTTTTTCCGCTCAGGAACGCAAGTGTGCGTGAGTTTTTTCTACGGCGCTTCTCTCTCATTGATGAGTTGGTTTCTCTTCTATTTTTAAGTTTCTAAGGTGAGGAAACCTTCGTCCTAACAAAACATAAGCCCCAAACAAAATATAATAAAAAGCAAAAATAAATAAAAATAATGCTCGGACTTGGTTCCTTACAGTCTGTATGCTGTCATGTTTGTTTCGAGTCTTGTGATGGTGTAGTAAGTACGGATGATAAACTCATTCATTTCTGATATCCATTTCAACCGTTGGCGTGGTTTTCCAGCCTTTGTGGTCTGTGGATGCATTGCCACAGAAACACCAAGGCTAGGTTGATTCCTCACATCTGTTGAGGGCATTGCAGTAGCCATGCTTGGGCCGGCGCTGCTTTCGCCACCGGTAACCAAGGGAGACTGGAGCCTATTTTTCGAACGTGAGCCTCTGCCTAACCCA